GGCTCAAACATCTGCAATACAATCAAATCATTGGGGCGTAGCGGGCCGTCATCCTCTCATCCAAAACAGGAAATGGCAGCATAGTTATCCTCTTCTCTTTCTTGCCTATAGGTAACGTGTGGATATACTCTATTTACCAGCCCAACTACATCAAGAACGCAACAAGTGCGGATCCGTACTGCGACAGGACGCTCTACCTGTTCGCCTTCTGGACCACCACCATAGTCTACATCCTGCTGGGTCTGTTTCTGGTTGGCGGCTTCTGTGTCCTCCTCTGCTTTTACCTGTGTGGCCGAGCCGACGCAGACGACGACGTCTAGAGACAAAAACAAACCAACGAAGGGACGGGATGCGTCTAATGAGGCTGTTGATTGCTTGATGTAGTGCGACAAAAGACTAATATGTTTCATCTTAACGCCTACCATGTCTCCTAGTGGCACTTCTGGTTGCACAGCCTTTGTTTTCGACAGCCTCATTTAGATAAACACTTAACTCCAAGATGCTGGAGATGTTTTATCACTGATAACGTCTGAAAGTGTTTTCTCGATGCACAGCCTTTTTCTACCTCCTGCAGAAGCTGCTATGCACTCTGTTTGTAGGAATCCCCTCTCACTTCCAGTCCAAAAGATACACGAGATGTATTGTTTACATGTTCACAGGAATTGGGCTTAAACTTAATACAGAGAACAGGATAAAATGTCTGTTTTTTGTGAGTTCATTTTGCTTTGTTGTTACTTTTTTGATAATAATTTGTGTCAGGATGGTACTCTATAAAACAAACAATCATATGTCACATCTTTCCCATCATGCACTTTAATAGAAAATGATATATTATCCAGTACAAGCCTATATAAGATAATTTATGATGCCCAATGCAGTGGTATGTTTCCAGGGGGAACATTTTTTTTTTTATGCTTCCCTTTTTGGTCTCCCTTATGAATCACAACACCAATCTTAAAAATCAAACTGTATCAGATGACTTTCACTGCTATGAATAATGTAACATGATTAAGATTACATACAGTATATTTATCATGATTCAACCAAAGATATGTTGGATTTTGTAACCTGAAATAAATCTATTAAAAGAGAAAGAAATGTGTAAAATGGAAACTGTAAATATAGGAAGTGTATTTCTCCTAGTGATTTCTGACTTCAGGATGTTTTAAAACCGCCTGTTCAACCACCGAGGTTACTAAGACGGAGAGAGAAAAGGAAGTTGTCGATTCATAAAACGAAAAGAGCTTCTTTTTTTTTTTTTTTTTTTTTTTTATAACTGTTCTTGATAAATAATCAAGCGGGGAAATCATGATCTATCAGCTTGGAAATAAGGGAACCATGATGAAGGAAATGGAACATCCAAGTGCGATTGTTTAAAGCTGCTGATGAGCAGGGGATTCTACTCAATAGATGATGAGCCTCTCTTCACTCTGACTTTCCCACATCTATTGTGGAGCACAAACCTGAGCACCTCTTTGCTTTGCCTATTTGATTTCTTTGTTTTGTTTTGTTTACTTTGCACTGATTTGCACCTTTAAACATTGCGCATTTAAACTTATTTTAATCTCCCACTGCTCTATGTTCTTGAGTCATGCAGTTGATCAATCAGGTCTCGATTCACAAAGAGACTATATATTTGGAGAATGTTCCAGTAGACAGAGAAATAACGTGATATATTTCTACATACCACATATCTTCCCGGGGGGCTCTGACTCAACTCATTTTAATTGCAAGCAACAAAAAAGTTAGAATAAAAGTTAAGCTTATTTAAATCAAATGATCCTTATTTCTACTTTTATGGATAAATGAGAGATTTAAAGAAAATGGAAAGAATTCTGTTCAGGTACCTTACCCAAAAAGATTGAAGTGGTTGGATAAGACCATGTTTATGAAACTTGATATCTAAAGATAAATGCTGATGTATCTCCTGATTAATAGACCAAAAGGGAACTGAGTACAAGCATCAAGAAAAAAAACAGAGGATGAACCAGGAAGTTGAGACCCACACACATGACACGTAAACTCTCCCACACCTCAAGTGAACTGTCTCTAACTTTCAAATGTCACAGCTGTCCCCTCTGGCCGTCAGAGAGGAGATACTCTTACTCACAGAAAGGTATGAAGTGACCATTTGATTAATCTATTACTGTTAACATAAATAATAGTTTTGGTACATTTGTTTCATGGATCTTCAGCTGGAAAAACAACCCTTTCCTATTTTGGTTATAGAGAGCACATCAGCTGACCGTGTGAACGTCGGTCTGGGCATGCGCGCTACCGAGAAGTGGAGGTTTGGCATCTCACGAGGCGCGGCTGTCACAGCGGCACACACACACAGAGGGGAAAGGTAAACTCCCGAATCAAGCAAAGGTAAGCGTCGGAGAATAAAACGAGAAACAGGGACTTTTCACCGCAATGCATTACTACTTACACACTTGTTATTTTTATTTTTTTGCAGTTACATTTGCAGTTTTAACCCGTGATCAGACTCCAGAAGTTGACTTGATGTCGGGGTGTAGAACGGTTAACGTTTGCGTTAAATGAGAGGCGAGGCCGCTTACGTTATCTTTTCAAGGATTTAAAAACAATGTTGACATTGCATAAATTAAACACAACTATTTGTTAATACTTTGAAATTGGACCAAACCAATCAATGTTTCAGCTTCACATGTGTCTGTTTTCATGTTGTTGTAAGCGAACAGGTTGTTTCTTGTTGTAGATTATTGTTCAAACCTGCTTTGTTGGGAATGCAGTCGCAGTCAAACCTCTTGTCTGTACTTGAGAGTATTCTGTCACATTCTGTTCACACAAGTACTGTGTGAAAGTATAAAACTGAGTCTTGAATTCAAACTGTGTGCAAATCATGTCCAGGGCCGGAGATGGACGTTGTAAGAATTCAGGGCTCACCCCAAACTTCATGCCCCCACCTTGAAGAGATGTATTCCCATTCACAGCAGCTATATGCACGATTTTAAAAATATTTTGAGATTATAGAATGGCCTAAAAATCTGCACATCATTTGGGAAAATCATGATGAGCCTCTTTTTTCAAACACAACCATCCTCAGGGACAAGGAACCTTTTGAGGAACTCATTGCATCTCGCCCTCAGGGACCAGAGTCTAAATTAAGGCCCAAAAAGGCCGATGCTTCAAGTCGTGTACCACTTAATTGATAAAACAGTACTCTAGTATCGATATATGACCATGTTAAGATAAGGAGAGAACTTCTTTCTTTGTTTGATGACATTAAAAGTTTGGCGAGTGCAGACAACAATGGGCTGAAGGAAGCTTTTATTTCCTTTAAAAAGTAGTCCCAGGACTTAAATTACCAGGAACTTGTTGACCGAAGTAACAAGTAATCTCACTGTACGCTCTACACCCTATTTTGTATCTAGTTGTTCTCCAGCTGTCTTCATCAAATTAACTGACCTGACCCAAGATTAGATCACTCTAATGATCAGCAACATGCATGTATGACGGGTCTGTGCATCGTTCCTGGTTCTTAAAAAGTCAGTGTCTTCAACATAAATTTTACACAAAAGTGTCAGGTTTCAGCATGCAGAACAATGTAGACGACCTGAGTCTACACTTCTCTCTCAGTTCTTAATCTTCCTCTGTAGGTGAGCATCCCCAATACTCATAATGTTAAACACCGGAGTTATTCAACGCATCCGCAGCGAACCCCAGGCACTAGGTGAGATCAACTGAACCATACACATTCCTGTTATAGTTTGATTTGGTTTTGATTATGTGCAGAAAGGAGGCTGCAGAAAGGAGGCTGCAGGTGTCCGCGCGTTCATCTAATTGTTTTCTTTCTTCTCCCAGCATGTTCAAAGTTGGTATTTTGTGTCATACCCATTGCTCAGATTGTCATCGGTGAGTGAGCGATTCACATTCAGACATTTTATTTGTGTTATTTGTTCCACTGAAATATTATATATTGAAAATGTTGGAAAGTCAAAATGTATCCGCATTAAATTAAATGCAACTAATCTCCTGTCATCGACCACGTGTCCATCAGGTGCAATACATCTGGATGACTGTCCGCGGCAGCACTACATCCCCATCTATCTGATCGTGGTGGGAGTCTTTGGCCTGGTGCTGGCGGCGCTCTCCTGCCAGCCCTCCGCCAGTACCCCCGAAGACGGCACCCCCAACCCACTCAGTCGATTCTGCATGACCTGGAACTCGTTGACATCTTTGTTCCTCTTCTGCTGGTTCATAGCTGGTGAGTTTAAACAGCGGCGGGCTGACGAAGGAGCTCACAGGAGGGAAGCACGACCAAAGACAAGTGCAAGTTGTAGTAACGCGTGTTGGCCATTAGATGTCCATCTATGTCTTCCATAGAGGCCCACTGCCTTTTTAGAATTGACACGGCTGCACACAGACCTCTGACATGTAAAGGGAGTTAAAAAAACTGGAAATGAGGATGTTGAAAGGAAACGCACTCCTTCTCTAAAAAATCAGCTTAAGGAACTAGCCCAATGAGGTTCATTATACATCTTTTGAAACATATTAGGGGCTAAATGACATAATTAAGGACACTACTGTGGCCCCTGGGTGGTGCCATGAACCATTTCTTTCTCCCCTCATGTCGTGTCATCGCTCTACTATCAGCTATTCAAAAAAAGCCCCAAAAATACTGAAAAACAGATTTGTATTTGAATAATTGACGCTGCTCAAAACAATTGTCTGGAATAAAATCAAAGTTGGCTCAAACATCTGCAATACAATCAAATCATTGGGGCGTAGCGGGCC